AGAGCCTGATTGAGATGCAGTTGCATCAACACTTATCTCATTTTTTGAATCTCTGAATATAGATAATGTTAATTAAAATTCCCCTTATATACAAATAATCATATTTTTAAAAATTGTATTTCTATAATGGTGCTTAAAACCTAAAAAATCCAATTTCTGACCAAAATTGACACTTTGCACAAACTATTCCCTTTCATTAGTTGGTAGCAGTAGCCAAATTTGAGTAGTGAAATAACTTGTCTAATGTGAATATGCACTAAACAGAATACTTAGAGAGAACTTACTTCTTTGGGAAAAACTCTGTTAGTGTAGGAATATTGTTTTTCTAAATGCTTAATTAGAATTATCCTTAACAGTCAAATATTTAATAAACTTTCTTAGGAACAGAACCGACATGCAAGGGAAGAATCACTTGCTGATGATCTCTTTAGGTAAGAGTTTTATGTTTGTGCTTAGAAAAATGTGTATTTTTGCATCACATCTTTTTTTTTTTTTTTTACAAATTTTGATTTTGGAAAAGATTACTTTGACTATTCTTTGCAAAATTTCACGTATTCTTATATATAAAATGTAGTCAAAGTGGTTCATCAGTTTCTCTGGGAAAAAAAACAACCTATTCAGGCTTCATTTAACGTGGAAAATAGGAGGAGGCGAGTTGGAGGAGAAAACATGAAAAGATGTTCCTGACTGTCAGCATCTCTGTAGCCAGTCACAGACAGGGTTGAAGCTGCCGTTGTTCTGATGCGAATTTCCGTCATGGATCATCTCCTGCTCCTATCTGCTTTATCTCCACACTCCTCCCCTGCCCATAGAATCCATATCCAATCCATAGAATTTGCTGTCCAGAAGAAATTTAAGCATTAGAAAGAAAATATTACAATGCTATAACAGTAAAATCAAAAAACTGTTTTGAGAGTTAATAGGGTCTCATTTTGTTTAGCAAAAACTTCATTACTTTCTGTGTTTTTTATGTGAAGAAACAAGTGACCAGTGTTTGACTTCTCACCTCTCATGAATTTGAGGAACACCAAAAGTTGTGCATTTGAGTAGAAAAATACATATTTTGAAGTAGGATTTTTTTTTTTTTAATGACTGTCAGACAAACATGATTTTGTATATCAATACCTGTTAGAACCATTCAGAAAATCTTACTGCATTAACAACTTGCTCTGTTCATTAACAGCTAATAATGGAGCATTTCTTTCAAAGGGTATACATTTAATTGTTGAAGGCTGAATTGTATAGCAACAACAGTGACTTCTAATACCTTTCTAGATATGTGGTGATGTAATTTGGCTCACAAGTTGTCACGTTTTTCTGTCTAAGCATAAAGTTTTGATGAGTTACTTTAGTGGAAGTAAAACTGCCTGATCATTCAGTTATGTTTGTAAGTTAGTCATGCATGAATACAAAACACATCAGAATTTCAAAGAAATGACAGGAGTTTGGGAGATGAAGCACAAATGGAGAAGGCCAAGGGATAGCAAGTAGATGTCAAGATGAGTCAAACTCAAGATGTCAAGTAGAGTCAAACTATAAGCATATTGCAGTAAATCGGGTAACTATTTAGTATGTCCAGAAAATAGCTCTAAATTTCTAATAGTCAAGCAGAAGCTGTATAAAGGGCAAGGCAGGGCAAGGATCTGCTTTGTGCAGGAGTAGGAAGCAGCAGAAAGGTTGTGTCTGAATGAGTTGTGGTCAAATGTACATCAGCATAAACAAACATACCCCTTTTCCCTCCTCTTTTGATTTTTGTGGTGTCCTTTTCCAGTCAAGAGCTTTGTGTTGGGACATTAAAGGCTTGGAAAAGCTTGGTCATGCATCAGATTTAAAGGTTATAAGTAGTTAGGAAATCTGAAAATCTCATTAACAGTTATCTTAAGTTCTTACAGAGGTTCTTCTGTCTTATGCATCCTTTATTCAAATAGTGGTAACTATAGTTAATCATAGGAGTGTAGTCAGGGAAAGGACTGAGCACTGGCTATTCCCTTGCTATGAATATATAATAAAGCTGTTTGCATCACATTGTATATCTATAAAAACTTTGAATATCATTATTTTACTTATTTGTGACAGATTTTATTTTTTTGTTGCAGATATGATCCTAATGTGAAAAGAAGAAGATAAATTGTGACTGGATTTAGTGTTTCTCTGGCAAAACCTGCTTTCTCTTAGGTTTCCTGGTTGCAGTGTGTATGATGTTCCTATATAGGACCATTTGAATATCTCTTATTGTAAGACATGTTTTCTAAGTCTTGCTTTTATTAAAAAAAAAGAGAAAAGTTCCTTTCACTGCTTGGTACTTACAGATTGCAGCATTGTCAAGACCTTCCCATTATTCACTTCAGAGTAATGCTCAGTAAAATACTGTAGATACTTAGGATTTCATTTTAGGCTATTTCTAATGTTTGGTTATCAGTACTATTTTAGGAAAAAAAGTTAGCATCAGGCTATTTTTTCTTTTTTCAGAAAGGCTTTGTTAATTAGGTACTTTCAAAGGTATCTTAAGAATTGAAAATCTGTTGAGGCTGAGATGCAACTGGTGTTTGATCATGATATGATATGGTTGATAAGATATGATCATTATATGATGCATAATGAACCACTTCTCTGTGGTTCATTTTATAGAACATATAACTGGTACAGAATATCTTGGAACTGAAAAACCCAGCTTCTTTTTCTCTTGCTTAAACATATTTTCATTTACACCTTGAAATCAGTGTGATTGAATGTTCATTTGTTAAAACCTACTTCTGAGCCAGACAAAGTCTTAAAGAGTTGTGACACCCAAATTTGGAATTTGAAATTACATGACCCATTTCTTTCATACCTTTACTTTTTTCAATCACTGTGTAAAAATACAGCCTTCAAAATAGTTTGATTGACTGGGAAAGCTATGAAACAATTACCTGTTTGTGGATTAGGAGAGCTCATCTTAATGATCTGAGAATTGCGATTAGTGAGATTGCCCTGGAAGTACAGTGAGAAAAACTTCCCAGACTTCCTGCTCAGGTGTATGAAGTCTGTCTCACATACAGATAAAGATGAGCAGATATCACATACAGATAAAAATGGACAATAGGTCTGTTGCATTCTATTTCAAGGGGGAGGATCTCCTTCCTCATATGAGGAAGTAATCTGGTTGATTGGCACAGTCAGTCACTCCCTCTGCCAAGAGCTCTGAGCAATCAACATGAGCTGCACCCTTTGAAGGACTCCGTTGTGTATCAGATGTGAGGAACAGCATTGTGATCTGTGCATGTCAGGATAGCAGATGTGCTGAAGTCATCATGGTTGCAACATGCAGAAAATACTTGGCCTTCCAAAGCCAGTGTTTTCTTGGGTCTGTCTTGGCTTCTTGCTGGTCAGCAGTTTTCCAGAGTGATACACAAAGTGCAGCCCAATACTTCTGAGCTCCACAAAAGCTGTGAGAGTGTTTGCATCAGAGCACGTCAAATCTTCAAAAAGATTTAAGCAATTCTTAAGCAGTTGAAATTCTTTCTGAAGGAGATGTACTGACTGTTCTGTGAGAATTTCCAGGTTTTCTGGCTGAAGACCTACTGGTCCAACAGCTCTTGTAGACTGAGGTTTTGGATTGTTGTTACTCTATTCAAGCTAATAGTTTGGATAGCAGATTATCAATGGACAAGATTCTTCAAGATTCTTCAGAAAGAATCTCGTAGAACTGTTGTATTTCCAGTTGTAAAAAACAGCTGGAGAATTTCTGAGGTGAAAGGACAATACATGCAATGTATAGGGGCCTTCTACAACAACAACTAAGTCCTTTGCTGCTCAGACTGCAATCTGCTAGGGGCTCAAACAACCCCTAGCAGATCGCTAGGCCATAGTTGAGAGCACTCTTTGTTCATGTTTCGTGATTTAGGGCTCTTCAAATCCAGTTTCCCAGACAGCTGAATTTACCAGCTTTGGCACTTACTTAAAAAATTTAGTATTTAAGAGTTGTGGGTCCCTTTCAGCTCAGAGTATTCTAGAATTCCAACTTGAGGGTGCCTAGCAGGTGATATAATTTGGTTTGTAATCCAGTTTCAGCTGCTGTCCAGTTGATGAAAAGCCTACAGATTAGTACACCTGAGCTTCTCCTATATCAATATGAAGTTAGGCTTGCATTAAAAAGCTTAGACATACAAACCCCTCAGCCATGGCTTTAATTGTAATACCTAATTAATGTAACAAGTCCTATTCATTATTCTGAAGCCTTCCTTCCATTTTAACTTATTTTTTTGTCATGATTTTCACCTCAGTACATTAGAGGAAATATGCTTGTTTGCTTACTGGTTTGGTCTTCTGTTACTGGAAGTTTCTGAGGTAGATGGTAAAGGACATAATTACATGATCCAATAAATTTCAATTTCCAATAAATTACATCAATATCTGCCTTATCCCTAGAGCTAGTGCATTAACTTCACCTGGTATTTCCTTTATGGTATAGAAGATACTGTTGTCGGCTAACCCATCAGGCAGCTAAGGTCCCACGCAGCCACTCACACACTCCCCAGCAGGATGGGAGAATCGTAGAATGAGAAAAGAGAAGGATGGAAGGCTCATGGGTTGAGGCATTTCTACAGGTAAGGAAAAGGTTATGAGCATAAGCAAGGGCAATCAACTTTGCATCCTGCAGTTCAGAAATTTTGCTGTGTGCTCTATTTTCACTGTGCAGCTTGTGCTCTCTGGTTTCAACCATTCAATTTCTGGGAGAGCTTGTTTGGTGCTGCTTTTCTTTGGAAGGTTCAGTAAATCAGAGAAGGTATCTAAGGTTTCTTTCATCTGCCACACTCATGGTCTGCAAGTATACCCACCTTTTTGACAAAGTTATGCTCTTCACCTTAAAAACACATCTAAGCAGAAACTTCAGATTTTGTTTCTTACATTTTTTGTGTGTAACACAGTTTGAGGGTTTGTCTGGAATGGTTTTTTTTTGAAACACTTAATACTTTTGTTCACACTGCTTACAGCAAGGAGATGCACACAATATATAAACTAAATAAACTTTTTATTAGCAAGGCTCTTAACATACAGTTTTGCATTCAGCAGCTTAGCTGATGAAAACAGTTTAAAGCAGGTTGAATCACTCTAGATACTACTAAAACTGAATGCTGTATCCCAGCATAAAAACATGTTTAATTTTCAGTTTAACTCACACCAATTTCAGCTGACTTCCCACTTTCCCACATCAGCTGGAGAAGCCACAGGTTTGGTTTTTTTTTGGAGAAGACTACCAAGATATTTGCACTGTTGAAGTGTGATTCTATTTCTGTCCATTCACATCTATGAGTCTGTCTTTTTTTCTGCTACCCTTAACTCCCCCATCTTCTCCCAGAATGGTGGCGGTTGTGCGTCAGGGCTGGCCTCTCCTTTGTCATTGCATCATTGCCTATATGTGGAAAGTGTGTTTGCAGTCAGCTTGAGTTCCTCCATCCAGCCACCTCCCCATCACCTCCCTCTGAAATGCCAAGTCCCTTCCTTGCCTTCATTCCTGATGTGTGACAGGCTCTATTCCATATTAAATCCTGAGACTGAATCCTAACTGAGTAGCTAAAGCTTCTACTGTAGACCTACCTCTAACCCACTCACCCATCTTGCTCCAGTCCATGTTATACAAATGATTTCTCAGTCCTGTCTCTTCCTCTTCCATAAAACTGGAGGGAGTCTTGCACCTTCTCTTGCTTTTTTCCATTTCTTGAATCAATGGTCAGTCACATTTGGCCACATCTGGTTTGAGTTACAAATTCCCAAACTGATTTTTGCTTGATTTTCAAATCCCAATTGTGTTGATGTTGTTTTGGTATCACCTTATAATTCAAGCCAAATGTGACAAAAAAAAATGAACCCTCTTCCTTATCGGTATTCCTCCCTCTTCCTCTTGCAATCTTTGATCACCATCATCATCACATTCCAGTGAGATAGTTACAAAAATGCTACACAATATCAGATATCCCTGACTAGCAACTCCCTCTAGCACTTGCTTTAGCGCTCTGCCCATACTGCTCTGCTGCAGCTTTTATTACTGGAACCTCTGTCAGTCATCGGTTTCAGTACCAGATCCATGCAAAACACCTTCTCCCACATTCTGAACACTGAAGCTCTCTTTTCCTCTGCAGTTTGATCTTTCATTTGACTTGAGTTCCCTACTTCTCAAAATCAAAATAACTGACTTCTAGGTGACACTTATTTTAATTTTTTTGCCTTCCGTCTGTAATCAGTTTTCACACATTAAGATTAAACAAGCCTAGCATGCAAACCACAGGAGTATTTATCATCTTGATTATTAAAAAAGAGAGCAAAAGAGAGGTTTTGCTCACAAGTTGCTTACAGAAAACATTATGTGTTTACACTGCTCATCTTTAAAAAGTATGATGCAAGCATACTCCAGCGAAAGATGAAAACAGGCACTGCCACACACGAAGAAATGATATTTACACAGTATGTCCAAGTCCAGGTGCATTGTATGTGAGCAAACATAGGTAGATTAATATAGTCCTTTATATAATTTCAAACTGGAATTCCAGCATAGCAGGTCTAACAGAAATGGGCAAGGTCAGAGTATTGACTCAGTAAATTGTGCCAAGGAGATGTAAGGTAACAGGATCAGTTCTTGAACAATAGCTCACTGTTCACATGGCAGCTGGTCCTAGCATCCAAACTGATGAAAAATACTCATATATCTAGTTAAAGAACAACCTAGAAATGCCAGGATTCTATAATGTTTTGTGAATACATAGCAAACCTAGTTGTTAATTTTCTTTATGCTGTCATGGAAGTCTCCAGAGGGTGTCTAGGGACATAAAGCCCAATTTTAGTTTATTGAAGCATTCACTGTAGGCTGGTACTTACACATTGCTCATAATAAAGAGATGGAGGAGGAAGATGCAAATTAAGAGTTACTTAGCCTTCAGAACAAGTTGTTTCCTGGTTTTGATAACTGCTGGTTACATATAGTTTTTAAGAGTTGGTTTATAAAGCCCTGAAAGTAGAAATTATCAGTTAGAAAATGACCTGACATGCAGACAGGTATAATATGAACTCAAGGTCAAGGTATGCTTGAGCTAAAATGTTCTAGTGTCTATAGACAAAACCATCTTTAGAACAGCACTTAGATTCACTGTAGCTATTAAATAACACTAGAAATGCTTTTCCCCCTGCCTATAATCCTTGTTCCTTACACCAAATTCATCCTTGACCACGTAATTCAAGCTTCAAAAATAAATTCAAACTTAAACTCCTAGTGTACCATATTCCCAACAGTACACTGTTTCAGAAAAAGAGCTGTTTATAATTCCTTACTTCAGGTTTGTACCCCTAAATGTCACCAAAACCTTTCTTTTTCTGTCAAAGATGCTTCCATTTTAATTCTTTTTGCTAAGGAAATCAACTGTTATAGTTATTTCAAAAACTTTTCTTTCCGGTTGGGCAAGGGAAAATGGGGAAAATATTTATACAACAAGCTCTCACATCTATTGAATGTTCCAGTCTTCCTCTCACTCTAAAAGAAGAACCCATAATATGACAGAACATTGTTATTGTAAGATTCTAATGCATTGTCTAAATTAAGACGTAAGAGTATAAACCTTTTGGCATTTTTGGCTCCCTAACTCACTCAAAATTAACACATTACTATATGGACAGTAATAAAATCAGCTTCCTTTAAAGCATATGTGTGCTACCTCTTCCTGTTTAGAAATGTCTGGGAGCACTGTCAAGATCCTGCTATTACAAGAAGATACCTGCTTGCTTTTCAGAAGTATAAAATATGGTAGCAGAGTAACAAAGCCTTATCTCTTGGCACCCCATGTTGCTGATCCAGTCCTACAGCTTTGTCAGCAAAGACAATTGCACACACGTTGCATTGTGTGCACTTGAGTTAATGGCCAGTTACAAATCCCCGGCAGAGCTCTTGTCACAGCCCACATCTCCCCCAGGAGGATGGGACACCCCCAGCCTACTGACACTTCAGCACCTGTACGTCTGCACTTCACACTGCACGTGTTCTTCACAGCTTTCCTCCCATCACCCCTCACTGCTCATCAGTCAGCAGTGAAGACTCACTACTGCAAATTTTTTTGTTTGCAAATTTTACTCCCTTTCATTCTCTTTTAAGAGCATTTGGCCTAAAAATGGTCTTTCCTTTCAATTGGGTACGCAGGCCTGTCTAGAAGTTGAGGTTTTAGTTTGATTTCCTCCAGCTTTGAGTAAACACTCTGGACTTCTGGCTCTAGCCTTCTTTTCAGTTCTTGAGCTGTGAGAGAAAGAAGCTATAGCCATCTCCTTCTACAAAATTAGTATTTTTCATTATGCAAACATCACTCTATGAAACTATTAAAAAGAAGTTGCCTACATCCACCAGGCCAGAAGTAAAATACAAGAATTCCCTAAGTGCTGAGGACGAGGGACCTGGAACTGTGGGATACTTTGGTGTCCCTTTCTCAGTGCATAACCACTGTTCCTGGGAGCCACTCTTTTCATGCAGTCACTGGCAAGCTCAGGCTTCTACTCCAAGACAAAGCACTTTCCTGAGAGAGAGAAGAATTCAGTGTTGTTGTCACCACTCTCTCTGGATTACTTGCAGAAAGGATTCCTGTGTTTACTCACTTGGGTGAAACTTAGGCTTACTCCTTTGTGGAAAGTTTTAAGTACAATTCAAACTTTCCAGAGGTTCTGGAAAGAGCCAGATTGTTAGAAACATCTAGTAGGAGAAATCTGACTCCCAGTTCAGCATCTGGACACTACTTGAAATACTCTTAGCAATAATTTAACTAGAAGACACATTAATTCTCACAGCATTAAGAACCAAATCCAAGTGTAAAAGCTGTTTTTCAGCTAGTCTATTAGAAAATACACAGTATGGGTTAACACAGTTTTAAAAAATCTGTAATCCAAATTAACTTACTTCAGCTAAAAATTACGTTCTTCCTGTCTGCATTTTCTTGATAAATCTTAAGTACTAAGTACCCTTTTAAAATACACAATGTTTAAAAGTTTATTCTTCTCAACGAAAGAAGAGCTGAAAGAAACAGTCTCCCTTCTGTAAATTATTATATTACACAGGAAATTCAAATGCTTGTTGGTTTTTTTTCATCTGAGAAACAAGTTGTTTCCCCAAAAGACAACTATTCAGTGCCAACATCTAATTCACAATAAATGCAGTAGGTAAAACTATCTTAAGGCAAAGCCTGAACTCTTCTATCATCTAGTTCCTCAAAATACTAAACAGGAGAGAAACAGAAATTTCTCTCAAAATCAGAAAGGCGACAATAAAAAAGTCTAGCTACAACTTGAAATCTAGCAATTCCTAAAAGACCCAAGATGATCTTTTAGCAAAGCTTTGGTTGAAAAAAGAATTTTTACACTGGCTTAATAAGCATGGTCGCTGAGATTTCTCTGCCCATCTAGGGGGTCTCACATGCAACTTTTTACCTCAAAAATACTGGCAAGATTGATGCAAAAAAATTAGCAGTTAAACCTCAAGGTGCTGTAAGATTGCAGTGAGATACTTGAGTAAGGATAGGTCGAAGATCTCTGCTACAAAGTTGTCACTACAACACACAGAGCTTGCAAGTAGCTGTAGCAGCTGAGGCTAAAAAAAGGCCTACATACATCCAGGTTTTTTCCCCATCTTGCAAAATAACTGCTAAGTAAATATTTTTTTTTTGCTGCCATTTTAAAGGTCTCCTGTGACAAATGAAAAAGCAGTAACATGCCACGTGTTGTATTTGGACATTTATATTGATATAAAGCTGCAGGAATTTAATCACAGTGCAGATGTATTCCCAGTAACTAAACTGCAATAAAATTCTATAATCAAGTATTTCGGACATGTAACAGTTAAAATTATTAGGCATCACAGGTTTAGAATTGGTTCCTATATACAGAGTTTCTTCCAGAGAAGGCAAATTGTAGAATCTCAATTACAATATGAAGAAAACAAGCCTAGATTTTAGTGGAATTAAAATCAGCTCAATATCAGTATAAGAAAGTACCTTAACTAGTACTGACAATGTACAGCTAAAGCCAACCATGAGGGCAATGCAGAAATTGATAGAAATCTTCCTTTGTTTGTGTTTAGGCTAAACACAAGTGGGTTAAGTGGGTCTACACTAAAACTTATTAGTAGTAGTAGCATAATTTCATAAATTATTTTGGACTTCCACTGAAAATATGAATTTTAACCTTGCATCCTTTACCTTTTCAACTTCTGCGTCCAAATTCTGAGTAACTTACTCAGATGCATATAGACCTGCAGTAGCCACAGAACCCTGTAATTTAGTAGGCACAGAAAACAGGCATTTATTGAATATAGCTGTCTACTATTTATGAAAGTTTAAGACAGCTGGGAAACTAGCAACCACTAGCAGTTTCACAAAGCCTAACTTCCTTTCTAAAATCTGCTGAAGTTCAATATGGAGATTTTTAATCACACAAATAGAATACTTGAAATTAACACAGCATTCTTTAACACTAAAAACCCCAAACAGAAAAATAACACCTTTTGCAATGAATTAAAACATTTGGTAAAAAAACAGTTAAAACCAATTATTTTTGTCTATTGAGAGTTCTGGGAGTTCACTTTCCTAACTTAACCTCATGACTGTAAATAACCTACCAGTGTGTTTAGTTGAATTAACTAATGTAAAACCCAGCAAATGATATCTAGGTCTTACATTATGGAGTGGAAAGATGAAACTTGGATTCAGAGGTAGATACAAGTTAAGTCTTTGTCTTTCATAAGAAGCTTTAAGAGATAGAGGAACTATTGCATGTTTGTTTGTGATTGGTTTGTTTTTTAGCTGTCTGTAAGATATAGGCCTTTCTTAAGTTTCAAAAACTGCAGGCTAAAATATTTTACTGTCATGTGCTGCTCTAGGAAAAAAAAAAAAAGAGAACCAATTTTTGGTCAAATGGGAGATGAGAATATCTATCACCCACCCCACCTTCATCAGCCAAGTGATCCCATTCAGTCTTCCTGAGCTTGGAAGCAAAACCCCCTTAATTTTCTCATGTACCTAATTTTTCAGTAGTACACCAGATACTCATGATACTGACACTGTAGTAAGAGCACTTACATCAGTACTTTATTGTTTATGTTAATGCGTAGTCTCAGAAATGTACATATATCACTGTAGGGGAACATCTCATGTTAGTCTTTGTGCACTCACCCATGTCTAGGCATAGTGTGAAGAAACATTAATGGATTGTGTCAAAACGTTAAAGATTAAATGGGAATGCTTATTCTTTTATTCCAATTACCAGGATAATTTAGAACTATTGAGGAATACTTGCTTACAGAAGTCCTTCTTATAGTTGAAACCATTTTACTAAGTGCTCATTCCAAGTATTACTGTGGTATATAAATAAAATACTTGTTTCAAGCAGAAGGCTCCAAATTTGCTTTGGGACAAAGAATCACTTTGTACTAAACAAGCTTTCTGCTTTTAGAAGTTATTTCCATCTCATGGTAAGAGTATTCTTGTCACATTTGACACTAAAACGTAAAACCACTCTTGTAGGCATTGCCTTTCACAGACGAAGTCTGCTCTTATAGTTGAGCAAGAGATGACAGACAGGCAGGCCAAGATAAATTAGTCTCATTTTCTGTTTATCTGGAAGCAATTCCAGTTGAAATCAGTTGGAATAGCAGATCAATTTTTTGTATTTTTAAAGAGTGCAGTATCCTTTACCAAGCAATACAAGCGCAGGTTACTTGTACACAACAGAAATGTGACTGCTATCAACTTTTGCTGCCAGTGAGTTTTCTGTTAAGACTACATCTGTAATCCTGGATGTAAGAGTGTCTAATGTCTCATTTATGGTACCCCCTCACCTCCTCCATCCCCACTTTCAATCAATTCATGTTTCTTCTTTTGTCTTATTGCCAAGCATCGTGCAATGCCCAGTGCACCTCCTTTTAAAAACCGTACGAAGTTGTCTCCCACCAGAGGCCCTAAAGCAAAGAGGTTGGCTTCTTTAGTGCATTCATAAGTGTATGGATCAATCTCTATAGGATTCCCCTTGCATGTGATGGGCTGATTGGAGTGATGACCTATGCTATGTCCTTGGTCCTTTAAAAAGAAAAGATTTGGGTGAGAACCTATCAGAACTAATGCTACAGAAAACTTCAAAATTTTCTTCAGTCCGGAGGGACTCTGAAGAACACATTTCATCTCAGGCTTGAAGGAAAGCACATTGTGTTCAGGGAAACTAGTGTAAGCAGAATGTTGGTTAGAGTCCACGGTATGAGACTGAGTACACATCATGTGATAGACCTTATGGTACTCAGGGTAAAGCTTTTTAGGTAACTGTTTGAATATTAGGCTTGTGTCGGTAACTCTTCTACGAAACACATGGACTACCGGGATGTTGTTGTTATAGGCACACAGTACTGCATCAGCTGCTGTCAGTCCAGCACCCACAATCAACACAGGGTCTGCCTTCCCACGTAACTTTCCTTTGCTGATTGCGGCTCCAAAGTCAGACATGGAATGGAGGACAAAAGGAAAGTCTTCTCCTTCAACCTGCAGTCGGCCAGGAGAATCAAAGGTTCCAGTTGCAAGAGCCACATTCTCAGCAAAGAGGCAGAAGGGCACATGAGAGCCATCTGTTGCTCGCTGATAACCTCTGACTTCCCAGTTTCTCTTAATAAGTGATTTCTGTCCATCTTCCACTTCCAAATGCTGTGTTGAAATATCTTCGTTTTGGTGACTTCTACCTTCATCATCCTTTTCTCGGTAAAGCCTGGACACTGATGTTATGTAAACATTGTCTCTGAAATTCTTTTGGAGGCCCATGACTTTAACATAGTGTTTATAATAACAAGCTATTTCCTCTGGCATTACTCGATCGCTCTTTATATTTCTGAAAGAAAATTGAATGGTTCTGGTTAATGAATAGACCTTATTGGTAATTTGAATATCAGATATGATATACCACATGACAGGCCAAGTTTATGAGGACTGAATCTGCTCAGTGTAAATGACACTGAGTTCAGCATATTTAAAGGCATTTGATTTATTTGTTCTTGTTTCCAAATACACAAGATCAGCTAACTTTTTAAACACTGTTTTAAATGTTTAAACAATGTAAATTGCTATGGTGATTAACAAATTAGGTGTAACAAAACTCTGGAGTCTCACAGCAGCTCCACATGAAGTGTTTTACAAAGTTTAACATCACAACTATCAATAATACAGTATTGGCTAAACTTGTACCAAGTGAGAATACACTTACTTACGATGTAATTAATTAAATCAAAAAGTTAAGTGCTGATTTTGAAACTCTAGGTTCAATATGTTACTGGAACCAAATATTCATTATGCTTTACAAAAGACCTCTCCCTTGGGTATGGTTAAGTTCACTAAGTATCAAATGAAGTAGTCCCATGTCACATGAATGAGCAAAGCAAACAGGACACAGAGTGTTAATGCAACTATGTAAACAGGATTGTGAGGTTCAAGTGTTCAATAAAAACCATTTTTGCACTGCAACCCTGCTATTACATCTGTGCTTTTCTCATGATTATTGCAGTCTCATTTATAAGAAAAATAGCTGACAGTGTAATTACTTGGAACGGTTGCATGAATTTTGCTGCTTCTTTAGTAAGGAAGTGAGCTCTAGGAAAAGGGCAAAACAAACTGTAGTGAACATGAGGATTGCCACTAAATTACACTTAAAATCATATTTACAAGTAATCAGGCCATTCATTTTCTTAGTGTAACAATATAATAGCACATATTCTTTTAAATGCTCAGGTTACTACTCTGGAAATCCTCATGAGATATTTATTGGAAGAGAATAGCGTGACAGTGTGACACCTCTTGCAAGTAAACTTAGGAAACTATTCTACATAACTAGAATTTTACATTATCATCAATCCTTTTAAATAAGCTTGTTTAATTGTAGTATAACCGGTCAGCATTTCTGGTTTTGGCATTGTTGAAAACTATAATACATAGCTTCAGATAATAAGCAGCTTATGGGATTTCAGTTAAGCAAGGAGGCAAGATTGCTGTGGTTATCTAAGAAAAGGATTAAAGAACAAAGCTACAATTTCCTCACTTCAAGGGTTGTCCTGAAATGAGTAACAGTCTGCCCTTAAAGACATATGCTCAAGTAACTGTAGCTCTTCTTTTTCCATACATGGTGCAAAATCAACTTCCTTTAATTTTGCTAGAACAAAGTCAAAAAATTAAAATTTTAGAAAAAGCTCATGTTGAATGTTCTTATGTCCATCTGCTGACACAGACCTTTATGAACTGAAGTAAAACCAGTGAGCTTGCACAAGATTAATTTTTCTTCTCAAGTTTTTTCAATAAACTTATTGCTACAAATTAACACTGAAATACTGAATTATTCTCTTAAAATTCACAGATTTCAGATGCTGCAGCTTTGCCTGTACAAGCAAATGCTGAAATATTTACCTTCCTGAATTGCAAGAAAGCTGGTATGCAAGTGCGCAGCAACTTCAGCTGCATGGGTGTTGAAAGAGGAACTTGCAATACCTCCTTCAGTGGATTTCAAATTCCTTCCTCCATCTTCCCTCACCTCTGATCAGAACTGCTTTCAGCAAGTGCCTCTTTCTGAAATGCTGCTGGAACACACTGCTGCCTGTACGTTTGCTTTCAATGCACTCACCAACAACTATTCTGCCTGACCATTGCCAAGCTTTTTTCCATCAGAATACACACAGCAGAAGAATTTCCAGTGCCATCAGGCAATTTAATAAACTAAACAAGAAGCTCTTCTGTGAACAGTAAAGTTTGAGTTATATCCAGTTATCTGGATTTTTATAGCCACTAGGATTCCCAAGCAGATTCTGCAGTATCTTTACCTGCGTTTGCTAGCTGCCCACTCCTTGAAGCTGAGGCCAGGCAATTCCATCCAGTCTCCAAAACTGATGGTTAGCATGGAGCCCTCCATGGACTATGGAGAAAATATGAAGATGCATGATCAGACACATTTCAAATTCAAATTTCAATTCAAATGTAAAATGGAAATTAAAAAAAAAATCAAATGTAAAAACCAGTGAAGCTCTTCTCATTGTACTCATTTAGAGCAACAAATAACAGAATACAACATAAAACCAGGATATTAAATGAAGAACTGAAGAACTATTTCTAACACTTAGATAATAAGCAACCACATGAGCTAATAAAGAAGCTGAAGAGAGAGCATGTGAAAGTGAAACTAAAAGCAAGTTATTTTAAATACAAAAGAGGAAGGAAACACAACACATGTGAAAGCAGCATCATTAAAGACACCAAAATTTAAGATTGTGTATAAAAGCACCTGGAAACAATGCAGACAAGAAAAAAAGTTATAGAAAATACTCTTCATTATAATTCACTAAATGTGAAGTAACAAAAAACCAGGTAATATAAGACAGCACTCATGGTCACAAACACCCAAGTAAAGGGCAACTTCTTCCTTCCCTTCTCATGGCTCCCACTTACTTGGCCTTTGCTGAGCCACTGGAACTGCAACTGGCACTACCATCTAAAACAGCCCTAGAGCAAGGCAGTAAGAAAAATCCCAAAACACAGTTATCAAGTTACTCTAGGAGTGAGATGCAATTTCTACTCACGTGCCAAGCCCCGCCAGGTGGTCCTTTTCCAAGCACTATGTGGGGAATATAATTATGCTGCTCTAACTTCCAGTGCAGAACAGGCGGGTAGTCATAGCCAAAGTCAGCATCTGGGTGAAGCAAGGTATCAAAAAGCACTGCAACTGGGTTTGAGGAGCGTCCTTCCAGGCCTTCTGACAGGTACTCCAGGTCCTGAAGGATGACAGATTTTAAACTTTTAATGTCATCATGCTATTCTGATGTGCAGAAGTTGAATTGCAACAGAAAACACAATTCAAATTGCATTTTAGCTAAAGGTATTTAATATAGAGATTCAATCAAAACACTTTTCAGAAATAATTGCTATGATTCAGTTCTTTGTAACTCTGAACAGTGTATCTCACTCATTTAAAAATTACATGTTAATAACAGTAATTCTGGGGCAAGTTCATTATTTGTAGAACAAAGAAGTATGTGGACAAATAGAGATCAGAGCAACTTAGTAATATCTGTATTTATAGACAGCAGACTGCTTTTAACAAAGGACTGCTAATACTTCTAGGAGCCCCATTTTGATAAAGCAAAACTGGAATCTAAAAACATTAAGCTTTAAACATAAAGCTCTTGACAGCTTTTACCTTGTTCCAGCACTAACTGTATTATATCTTAAAATAATGAAGATAAAATAAGCATTTTCTAAAAAAAGTAAAACTAGGATTATTTTACACATCAGTTAATGTTGAGAAAAATTTCTAGAACTTTGTAAAATTCTCATTTCAGCATGTATTAACCAGTCTTGTTCTAGTAATTGCAAAAATTATAAAATAGGAAATATTTGAAGAGAAAATAGAGATTTGAAGAAAGAACTGGACATAAGACTAATTTTTGCTGACAAAAATTTGCTGACAGTACAGCTTAGATTCCTAATTAGTCAAAATATCAGGGGGTTGGGAGAGGATGAAGTATGAAACATCTGTAGCCACAACTTAGGCAACTTACTCTCCTGCAAAAGAAAAAGCCTTTGAGACCTAGGGTAAACATCACATGCAAGTAGCACAGCACTGAAACAAAAACACCCTCCAAAATCCAAAGCCAAACAAAATCCTATTTTCCCCCTACAAATTTAAATCCATGTTTGTATTTCAAATAGATTAGTCACAAAGGCAATACAGTGATAACACTGTCAGTAATCCATGAGGAGTACAGCAAGGTGAGTGGAAAACAGTGTTAACATGGCAAACTAATGGACAAGTGGAAAGAAAAATGCTGGAGAAGATTTAACTAATCCAATCAAGACAGAAAAATTTGACATATACATGGGTAACAACTACAGCACAAGAGGAACTGTCAGTACAACACAAACACTGAAGGATGCATACTGTTCCAAAAAGAAAAATGGATTGTGTTTATAGAGGATATATGTCCCCAGTACAACTAAAAATGAAATCATAGTAAGAATTGGAGTATTTAAGAATATTTTAACTTGAACTACATGTACTTTATGTATGCTAGTAGCACGTGTTCCTTGGTGATAGTGCCCAAATATCCCAGGACATGACAAATGGAATTCCTGCATCAGCCACTGGCCAAGTCAGGCTTTAGATACTCCCAGCAAGTAGTAAGAACACAACAAAGAGCAGACTGTAAAACAAAAAACCACCACAAACTAAAAGCCTTCAAGAGCCACAAACAACACTACACAGCCCAGGTTTGGATCTAATGGTCATGAGTTGATTCTATTTAAATTAACAGAATAACAAAATAACTTATTAATGCACTAATGCTTGCAGTAGAAAAAGAGCTGGACAAGAAGGCAACCAAAGCTTACTTGGTCAACAATGGAAAGATGTCGAGCTTCTTCTAATTTTGTATGTAGAATGGGGTTTGGGTGTATAGCTTCAGGAGACAAATATGGCCTGTATCCAGAGAGCAGGTAAGAAAGGCAAATTCCTGAAGGTCCATTTCCTATTAAAGAAAAAAATTACTGCTTTAGTAAAAATGTTTATTATCTACAGTTTGTTAATCAGTAAATATACAGCAACAAAATAATACCAAAGTAGTATAATGCCAGACAGTCTTGATTTCAAAGTAGCTTATAAACTTTGCAGTAAAATAGAGCTTTTTATAGGACCATCCTCCAAATAAACAGTGCAAATTTTTTTCAGTTAAAGAGAAACAAATGTGTGACTTTTATACCAAGAAGCAAAATGCATATAAAGAAGTTCCCTAATTTACTATGTCACATTCACTACTGTGTGAAAATGGCTGACAGATAATGGTCTGTCAGTCACAGTGATAGCTGAATATTATTGCCATCTTACAACTCTGCATTCCCACAGGCACTGTACAACACAGAGCAGAAACACAATCTGGATTACATGCTCTTCAGGTCTGTACATAAAATAAAGGGAAGAGACAAGCAGAAAGCTTAAGACTGAAAGTCAGATGAGAAGTTAGACCTGCAAAACAACAACATAAAAGGTAAATGACCACAGACCTCCTGTGGGTAAGTGGTAAAGTACAAGAAATTCATGTAAGGCCACGTTCATGTTCAGGAAGAGTATGAAATCAAACACTTTTATTAGCTTTGTAGCATTTTCAATTTGTATATGTGTATTGCTGAAATTTTAATAGACACTTATTTTTAAAATGTTATTAAAAGTATGAGATATATGGGACCAAAATACTACTATAAGGCAAACATTTCTATTTATTTGACTAGTATTAAACAAAGCAGGGGACCATATTTATCACATGCAAATACAGAAGTAATGTTCATGTTGCAAAGTCAGACACCAAAAGTTACAGAAAGCTAAATCAGAAAAGTATGTGCTGTGATAAAAAAATTAAATATATGGCTATGTGTTGTTATTTCTATAGCTCGTCTTACTCATTAACTGAATAAAAAGCAGTGTTCTCCTAATGAGCCACCTGTCAGTACTTTGTCATTGTTTGCACACATGGTATTTAGCACACACTATGCAAATTCTGGGTTCAAGTTACTAATTTATTCTTACTTTAGTACAGCAGGCATTGTTGGATGTTTGTTCTTACTTCTAAACCATTTCATCTCTTGATGTCAAGAGTTCACAGGTCACTTACTTACTTTTCCCTATCACCTCTGCACACACTATTTTCATCATCTGTTAACAATCCCATTTCTCCAATGCCTGTCTCTTCTCCCTTTTCTGATTCCTCAGTTCTAAATTCCCCATCACTTTGCTGAGGCTCTGTTCATTCCCAGTAGACTCAGAGGTGACCTTATCACTCTCTACAGCTTCCTGAAAGGTGGCTGTAGTCAGGTGGGGTTGGTCTCTTTCACCAGGCAGCAACTGGCAGAACCAGAGGATACAGTCTCAAGCTGCACCAAGGGAAATATAGTTGGATATTAGGAAAAAGTGATATCACGGAAAGAGTGATAAACTTCTGGAATGGCCTTCCCAGGAAGGTGAGCACACCATCTCTGGATGTGTTTAAAAAAAGACTGGGTGTGGCATTCAGTGCCATGGTTTAGTTGAGGTGTTATTAGGGCATGGGTTGGCCATGATAATCTTGACAGTCTCTTCCAACCTAGTGATTCTGTGATGTTAAGGTGAATTACTTCACTGAGCTCCCTGAACTTTTCTGAGACTATCCAGAGAGCTGATCCAAACCCAGCTCCTACTCTTTAAGCAGACTGAATCCAAGGGAAAGAAATCCCCTGAGGATATGCTGTTAAGAACACACAGGATGAGGTTCAGCTGCAAGGTCTGCAATTAGACTTGCTATCGTTTCTCAGAAAATTCTTGGGAAAAAGAGAAAAAAATCCTTTTGAAATGACAAATTTTGTTTTTTATTTACACACAGTGAGTCCAATAAGACCTCTGACTGCAATTAAGAGATGTAACTATTACACAAACTTCAGTTGTGCAATGAATATAACCAGAAAGCCCATAACCCTGTTCATTTAAGAAGCAGTTTGTTTGAATATCAGCAAAATCTTCTCTTGATCAACAGCAAACTGTAGTACAATCACCTTTACATTATGTGTCTAAATTTAAACCAAATATTCAACTTCAAGTATCATAACAGCCTTGTTATTTGGATAAGAAGTAACAACATTCCACATAGTAATGATCAAAACTAGTGCAGAAGATGAAAATGTTTAGCACAGAACACATTCTAAACTTAATAGCTGCAGCATGAAATTGTTCAACCCCGATGTAATGTATCTGTTTCTTCCCAACATAGGTACTGCACACAAATTATTAAACCAGCAGAGAGTGTGTTCACACATGGGGGGGGCAGGGGCGATGACAACAATTTTCATACTCCTCTATTACATTATCAGATCATTTTAGATCCCTTTGAAGGCTCTTCAGTAGGCTGTCAGTGGAGAAGATCAGCTTGCAAGGTGTCTGAAATATAGCTGTGAAGAAGCATTTGGATGCTGGAGAAGTGGTCAAGGCAGCTGTGTTTGGTGTCAGCACCCAGAAAGGTGCTCTAGACAAAGTAAGTACTGAGCACAGGTATTTGCATAACACATATTTGCAAAACTAAACAGTGGAAACTGAATCATAAACCATATGACAAACCTATACTAAGGCCGACAAAATGCCAGGACACAATTCCCTTCAACTGTGATGCAGAACTCATCAAGTGATTCACGTCTGTCACATACACGTAAGTCTGCTCCATGAGCACTATCTTAAACTACCACAAAGAGAGCTTTGAGGACAGGCACTGTACAAACACCAGTCTTTCAAAGTTGTGGAGACACTGTGAACACGATTATGTTGCAACATCAATCTCCAAAATCTTTGCTTGTTTACAGGTAAGTACTTGCTCTAGTCCCAACAGCTTTGGACTAGCTTATTGAAAACCTTCTTTACTTCAAATCTTTTCTTTATCCCCTCATGAAGTCATGGCAAGAATGAGCTGGTGACCAGCTGCTGTTGAAAAACCTTGGCCCAATACACGTTATGCTGGCACTCTCAATTGAAAGTTGTGTACCTACAGAGCCTCCTCCCTCTGTCCCTCTGTTACCCTGTCATTTTACAAGTACAAGCCCTTAAGTGTTCTATCAAGACTACAATTTATTATTTTAAACTAGTCGAATTGAGCTGGATTCACTTTGGAAAAGATGGAAGAATATTTAGATATTAGTGATGGATGCAGCAGAGAAAAAGGGCTATTAATGAGAGGTTAGTACCTAACCAACACAGAGCACACATTATGCTTTTCACTCTTCCACATGACCCCACAGATATCTACTGGTGTACCACTGACAAACACCATGCATACAGAAATAGGTATATCACATTAATCAAACCCTATGTTATCAACACTAGAATCAATACAGTTCTTCTGTTAATACTCCCATATTTGCTGCTAAATAACATAGCTGACTTTTTCAAAGCACAATTTAAATTCAAATATACTCCAACAAGTGCCTTAACATAATATAATGTTACTGTTGTTATTATAACAACTGTATTACTCTAATAAAGATCTTCAATGTAAGGGTTCTAAGCATTAGTTATTTATTGATAAATTATTTCACGCAGCAGGTCGATAAAGGCAATGGCACTGACAGTGAATCTTTAAAAAGAGAAAGAACTCACCTATTATTACTACAGGCAGGGTAAGAAGGGAGTCCCCAGGCAGAACTGTTTCTTCAATTAAAGGCATTCTTTTAATCTTCCTCCCAAGGCTGTCACCAAAGTACTGAACAAAGGAATTCAAAAGCTGTCCTTCGGTTTCAGTGCCGCTGTAAGTTCTAATTAAGAAGGACAGATGGGAGAAAACTAAAGTGAAACAGTGAACTGTTGTCAGAACAGTCTCTTCAAAAATAGTCACTTTTGATGTTTTACTTAAAAAGCTACGAAACTGGTGAAATCGAGACCAAAACAGATATGTTTTACCCAATCTACACAATTTTACTCTTCAGCACAGCTTTTCTAACAGAAGATTTTTTTAAAGTCTACTTTCTCACAGCAAGTCTACAGAGGGATAACAAAAAGGCACAGATGGCTCTGCAGAAGTGCAGATTTCTAATCTCAGTTTATACAAAGCCAAAGTATAGCCACAAGCATTATTTTGATCCCACACACAGTAGAACTCATTCCTCATTATCCTTATCAAATCAGGAGATACACACTGCCTAGCCAATTAACAACATTAAGGCCAGACAAAGCCTGAAGGAGCAGCTAAGGTACAACAGCAACGTTCATATCCCTTCCTGCTGGCTGAGCAGCACAGAGGGCTTCACCTCAACAAATCTCCATTCAGAGAGAAGTGAGGCTGGTTAAAGTTGGCAGTGGTGTGAGGATGAATCCTTGTGAAGTGATCCCTTTAAGCCCTACACATAACCCATCCTACCACTATTAAAAGTTTTTACAGAAGGAATTGCCATGTAGTCAGGTCAGCACCTGCACAGCAAACTGCTTTCACCACTAGCCATTTTCCTAATTTTTCAGTTCTCTCTCTGAAAAATACACTTAAGTTTCTCTTGCAACTCTTCACTGTGTAGATGTGCTTCTAGAATACAAAGACTTGTCTTATAATGTTTTCTATTTAATTATTTAGGAGTCCTTTCTGAAACCTTTCCAGGTCATTGAAGGAGCACACAAACTATCAGTCTAGCCAGAAAGACAGAGTCAAATTAAAAACAGTCTGTTACTGCAGTTATTTTGTCAAAGTAAGGACAACCAATTTTTAATCAAAAATACCGCTATCAACAAGGGGATAATTTTTTAGAAAAATTTCTAAAATTTTTTCTCTTTATAAACATGATTAATTATCAATAATAAATAAAAGTACTTGTATCTATGTCCTAGGACTTTGCATATCTTAAAACTATTCTAGTGTTTTAGCCATTATTTTCTACACAGGATCAAAACTGTAAGACGCTGATCCAATTCCCAGGGACTTCAAGAAGCCATGTAAACCGTGTACTGCCTCAACTCCCACAGCACCCAAGATTCTGTTTCAAAAGCCTTTCCTCAATGGGGAAGTCTGAAGTAAACTGGAGACAGAGCTGTGCAGTAACAACAGCAGCAGCACAATCTGCAACACATCTCCCTGATGGCATTGTTAAAAAGGGTGGGGAGCTATACTGAGGTTGCATTTATTTTGGAAAGTACTTGATATCACTATTCCCTGCAGTACAACAGAAAAAAAAAAAGAAATTACTTGCTTACTGTTTGATTACAGCTGCACATTAGCCCTTGCAGACACCTAACATCCAAACAGCATGAGTCAGATGAAGACAAGGAGTCAGCAAGGGGATATCTAATTATCATACTGATTTTTTTCACCTCTGCTTTTAGAAAGGAGAAGGTAGACCGCTTCATTTTTCAGCCTTTGCTCAAAGTTGACTAAGGCAATACTACCTCATGTTCTGCAGAAGACAGGCTTAACAGGAGCATGCATGCTTTACTGTGGATTTACTATACTTGCTGCGCTTGATGGAATATAAAACTGAAAGAAACATTTCAAAACTTATTTTAAGAGATATATGAACAAAGCTGTAGGCTACAGAAGAATCTTTTTAACAAGAAATGCTTAAAATAATAGTGTATCACAAATTACCAAACTGGTGAATTTGCACAGAAACATCTGCACACAATGTTCAGCTTCTTGTTCTTTACACAAGAATACCTGCACACAAAATGCAGTGCATAGGAAGGAGTGTTGTCAGCAGCATGTTCTTCCTTTGCAAGAACATCAGACCAGCAAGATCTCAAATTAGGGGCCACCACCTTCCTAACCTCTGAGCAGCACTAAAATCCACCAAGTACCAGCAGTTTTTACCTTGATAAAACTCACTGTAGACAGCTTTGCAGTGGTGGGGACTTGGCACAATCACCTACGGCTCTAGTCCTGCAGACATGCAAGTGGGCACAAGATGAGTCAGTTCCAACACTAGTGCCTAATTTATCTTATACTGGTCACCCAAATAACCTGGGGAATCACATTCTGTCAATCGCCAAGATTCTAAACATATGCAAAAATGTGCCTTCACGGTTTTGCCTTTTTTTTTTAATGCATCCATTAAGAGAAAAAACGCAACATACACATAACAGTTTTTTCTCCCATTTGAAAAAGCTAATAATAACAATTTGATAACAACTCGTTATTTGTTGCAGGTTATTAAAATAAATGGTACCTTTCCCAGGTAGCCGTTTTGAAAGATGCTAGAATACACTGCGCACTTTCAGGAAAAATAAAAAATAAAAAAAAAAAGAAAGAAAGGAACGGACTGTGATGGGCGGTTAACAGAAAACTCGTTACATAAAAGGAATCTGAATTTGGTCTCAACCTGACACTTTGAGAAGAGACTCTACCACTGCCAGACTCTTGGATGGATTTCGTTCGGGTGAGCGGGCGGAGCGGCGCCCCTGGGGGCCGGCACGGCGGGCGGTGCAGCGCTGCGAACCCCGGAGCGGCACCGAGCATCCGCGGGCGCGGGCTGCCCCGGCCCGGCTGCGCCTCGCCCCGGTGTCCCCGTCCTGGCCGCCCGCCGCCCGCGGCCCGGCTCCCGCGGCGCCTCACCGCCCCCCGCCGCCGCCTCACCTGAAGTGACCGGCCAGGGAGCAGCGGCAGCACCACACGGGCATGGGGAGCGCCGGCGGGGCCCAGCGATGAGGCTGCGGGGAGACACCGCACGCCGGCTCCCGCTCCTCCTCCTGCCGCCGCCACACTGGGACCCGCACCGCGCGCTCCCTCCTCCTCCCCGTTCACATGCGGCACCGGGTCACACGCGGGAGGAGGAGCCGCCGCCAGCACCGGCAGGGAGGAGGGACGAGCGGGGTGAGCAGAAAGGAGGAGAGAAGCGGAGGGGAGGGAAGGGGAGGGAAGCGGGGAGGCGGGTGCCGCTTCCTCCTGCCAGCGCTGCGGCGGCCCCGCGGCCCCGCTCCCGCAGGAGGATGCGGGCTGCGCCGCCTCCCCCGGGGAGGGCGGGGAGCCCCGGCCCGGCACGGGCAGTCCCGGCCGGCACGGGCAGCCCCGCGGCCCCCTGAGGGGAATGCTGTTCCTGAGGGGACTCACACCGGGCTGCGGGGCCGGCCCGGGAGGATCCCGTCCTGCCGTGCCCCATCGGGTTTCTCGAGAGACGCGCATGAAGAAGTTGACAGAAATCAAACAATTAAATTTTTTTCGACGCACCTTTTAACTAACAGCCACCTATTCGGGAACAATGCTTCTTATATGATCAGTTAGTAGCTTTGAATTGTGTCTTATCATAAATATTCTGCAGGAGTGCTTATCTATGGAGAAAGCATTCCTTGCCTAATTACACCCTTCTCAGTGACTGGGGTTGGCAGGAGCTCAGGAGGTCATCCTGTCCAAGCCCCTGCCCAGGCACGGCCACCCTGAGCCAGCTGCTCAAAACCAAGGCCAGGTGATTTTTGAGTATCTCCAAGGATGGAGAATTCATGACCTCCCTGAGCAACCTGCTCAGGTGTTTGACCACTCTGACAATGAAAACGTCTTTCCTTATTTTCACGTGGATTCTCTTGTCTTTCAGTTTGTACCCATTGACTCGCATCCTTTCCCAGGGAATCACTGAGTTCCCTACCATTTTCTGATTAAGTCTTCTTCATCCCCTCCCATTTATGGATTAAGGATCCCTCCAACCCTTCTCTTCCACAGGCTAAACAGTCCCAGGTTTCTAAGCCTCTGCTCATGTAGCCAGTCTGCTGTCTGAGACACCCATGTCTTAACACTGCTTTTCTCTCTCAAAGTCCATCAAACAGTAAGAGTGAATGGCAATAAATCTATGACTATTTATTAAACAATTACAGCCTTCTGCACAGAGTTAAACTTGACAATTAGAAATGTCTTCATTATGAATCTGTTCTATAAATACACAATACCAAGATCTTACAAAGCTGCGGAATTGCTGTGTCTGAAGTAGCTGTTGGCAGCTGACAGTCCCAGTTCACCTCAAGGCTGTTCATTCAACACTGTCATGTCTGTAGTCAGAAAATATTTACTGTTTAATAGTCTGGTCTGTACAGTACAAAGGAGGACTTTATCAGATATGTGCTCTGTAAAAGCTTAAAGTAAAACATCACAGAAGCTGAGCTGTACCACTGAGGAAATACAGAATGTTGATATAAAATATATATTTTGAAAGGATGAAACATATTCAGTTAGACGTATTGTTCTTCAAGTGCAGCACCAGGTCTAATATGTCTTTAGACCAGAATTAACAACATGAAGCTGCATTTAGCTTGCTCTGTCCTCAAAACCACTGCCTTTAGTCCGGGAAACTATGTGAATGATTTTGTTGACCAGATAACTCATACTATTTGAATATTCATACTCTTTTATTCAAGTTCTGTACTGCTTTTCAATGAGTTGCAGAAAACTACAGCAGAAGTTGCGTTTTTTTTTTCCCACATAGTAGTTTGCTCATAGTCAGGACAACCTCCTCCCAGGTACAAAACTCCATGTCTGCAGGACCTCACATTTCAAGGAAACTAGCTATAACCAAGGAAAAGTTTTTGGGGCTTCACCAGTTACTTGGTGGCAGCATCAGATGACATTGACTTCAAAATTAATGTATAAAGGATGTGTTTGGCTTTAAGTACCCCCTTATTTCCTCCCATAAACAAGTCTGGCTATCTAGAATATAACACAAAACTTCAACTATACTGGTAATATTATTAGTTTGTGCTGTCTTTATGTACATACACTTGAGAAGGAAAGCAAACACATCTGTGTCCATGTCTAAGATTGGAACATGTCTTCCCCCAGCATGCTTTCACACTTAAAATTAAAATATTATAATGGACCTTAATGTTGGTGATATAAAGAGGTGGTTTGGAAAAAGTACTAGTGGGGCCTCTCGGGAAATTGTGTTCTGGATGAATGTCCTGATTTTCAATGAATTATGCTTCTCCCAGAAGTAAAATTTTCTGTTCCCTTTAAATTATACATGTTAACTTGGATTTTTCAAATGTCTTAGTTTTGTGGTTGGGATTTATTTAAAATCCATGTCTCAGAATAAAATGTATTTTCTTTAGATGTACCTTTGCATTAGTTTTTTTTCACTAAGGTTGGAACAAATGGGAAAAGACTAAAACACATCAAGCCACAGGAAACATTTCCTCACATTTTAAAAGGACCTATTTTTCCTGTTGAGTTCATTTTTGTAAAGAGATTTGCATAGTTATTGGCTCTTAGCTTTATTCCAAATCTTTACATTTTAAATCCTGCTAGCCAATTAGCTAATTTAAGTCTCCTTTCTTTTGCTCACACTCACTATACTAATTTAGGTAATAAAATTGTACATTTGTTCAAGAATATTCTTTTTCAAAATCAATTTAATTTGAAAACATTTTTCCCCAAGTATTCAGGAAGTCATTATCTCAACTACTGATGTTGGAAAATGCATTAAACAGCTTTTGTTAAGCATGGGGGTATTTTTAACAAAACTTGTAGCTTCTCCTGATTGGAGAAGTAACTAAATGGTAACTAAATATGTTTAGTACTTGACGCTGCAGAATTCCTACAAATCCTGCCTGTGGTGGGAGCATCAGAAGAGGAGGCTGTTGCCACAAATCAGGATGCACAGCATGGGGAAAAAGGACTTCATCCTCTTCTGTAGAAGTGACATGGTCACTGAGTAGCTGAAGAATGACTCCAACTGTGTGCTGAATGCAACCTGCAGGTTGTAATACAGCATGGGAAACAAGGAAAGTAACTGCAACATTCTGGTAAGATTCCCAGTCCCCACCCACTGCAATATGAGATTAAAGTACAAAATAAGTAGAACATAAACCTGCAAGGCTTCAGATGTCACTTACTGGATTATTATCAACTCTGTCTGAATGAATAATGCAGTATCTCAGTTCTGGAGCTTACCCAGGAGAGATGTCTCGTCAAGAGCAAACTTGCTCCCTGTGACATCAAATGACTCCAAAAGATGTGTGAACTGCAAGGCCCAGCAGGTGACAGAGTAGTGAAACATTTTCTGAGATTAGCAAATAGAAAGTTTGCCACAAGCCTGTGGCACTCAGCCCGAAGCACGAGGTGCTGAAAAAAGGCCAGGAGAGATTAAGAAGGGTTGAGTTTATTTGCTCTCAACACTGTTAAGCAAGATGACAACTAGACAGCCTAGCTGAAAAACAACTTTCTGTCTGGCCAAGTTTAAAAAAAATAAATTGTAAAAATGGGAGAATCTCAGTGAAGAAGTTCTGTTGCAGTTGTAACAGATCCTGCCAGAAAGTCAAGATACTTGTCAAGAGGGCCCAAGAAAAGATGCTTATAGAACTATCTTCAAGGAGCAGGTCTATAAGGGTCCTGGGATATTTTCATCACCTGTGAATAAAATTATTTCCAGTGGTCCTTTTCAGATATTGCTAAGTGCTAATGAAATAATGCTTTAAAATAAAGATTCAACAATTTCTGTGTCAAAGAATTATCTTACTAGAATCTTATTCTAATTATCTTATAGAAGTTTTGACAGGATGGTTTTATGGGCCTTTTGCACCTCAGGATGCAATTTGCCTGAACATCTGAAACGGTGTCTGTGTAGTATTCTGTGATTAAAGAAGAAACGAAGAATTCTGCCATTAGTTTAACTGGAATATAACCACTTGCTCACTGTCTCCAGTGGAATGGGGCAGAGAATCAGCAAAAAGGTAAAACTCACAGGTTGAGATAAGTACACTTTCACAGAACAGAAAAGGAAAGGAAAATAATAATAATAACAACTATAAAAGAATATGCTAAAGTTCACTGTCTGCTCACCAATGCCAAGCCAGTTCCCGAGCAGTGGCCTAATGTTTTATTCTGTAAGTAATCCCATGTAAGATCATGATGATATTGATGCTAGCAACTAATAATTCTATTTATATCACATGTAACTATCAAGAAGCACTTTCATTTCTAGGGAAGTAATATGAAGTTTGTAATTAGGAAAGACTTCCTATTAGCTCAGAGTTTTCATATTTATAAAAAGTATTTGTTTAGAAGAATAGAATTTTCCCCTCCCAATTTCTGCCAGATATTTCTTTGTGCTTGTTATTTTGCCAAAGTACAGCTCCCAGAGATAAATTATAATATAGGCTACATCTAATCCTCTGTCCCCCAAAAACCTGCTAAATATATTTCTGATCATGCAAAAACCTTGTCAAAAAGAACTCCTTAACTACAGATTAATTTTAAATCCATATGTTTGTAAGTCTGATTTATAATTTCTTAAAGAAGTAGGCCTATCTCTATTGTGTTGCTTTGCTTTCCTTTAAATGTAGTGCTGTGTTACTAATAGCATTTTTTTTGTAAACTTGAGAATGCACAGCTGTTCCTGACAGTATCCACCATATGCTTATTTCCAACTTTCTGCCTTTCTGTTCATTAGACACCAAAGGAAACAAGAGAACAGCCATACAAAATTTTTTCTGTCTTTAAATGCTAGATTTCTGTATTCTAGGAGCCCAGTACCCACTGACAGTTTGGTTATAGCTGCACCTCCGTAGCAACAACACTTCAACCACACTTTGCAGTTCATATGAATGTGCCTCATTATTTTAAGTCACACTGTTTTAATTGTCACATCTATTAACTGCTTCCTGTATTTAACAGGCATAAGACTGCACAGACCTTAGAACTTAAGGAGTGAAATAAGGTATGACCAGTGTGTAATGAGGTAAGTAGGTGGAAAGCAGAGACTGCAGGTTACAGGAGAGGGAACCGAAAAGGTGTTATCATGCGTGTGCTTCTCTGTGTGCTTTAACTACACATAGGAGTCCTAAAAGAATACCAAAATCCATCCCAAAAAGCAAGCCAGCCCATTGACAAGTATTGCAGA